AGAAACCCAAACGGTGGCTGCAGTTTTGTGGGTCTTGCTGTAGAGAAACGGGTGTCTTGTGGGGTGGAGGGGTGGCCAGATGCTTCCTTCTAAAAAAAGAATCTGGTTCAATTCCACTTTCTAGGAAGTGAGTGGAGATACGTGATCCTGTCGACTGTACGCTCCTGCCCTCGGTCAGAGGCTGATAGGAAGCCCACGAAGAGCTGGCAGAAGAAGTACCTGGGCTTTGTTACCGACCCGAACCAGGTCAATGTCGGCATCACGCGAGCTCAGGAAGGACTCTGCATTTTAGGTGGGTCTCCTGGGAGCGTGCGCAGGCCCGCAGGGGAACGGGGCGCTTGGATAAAGGGGGTGGAGATCCAAACCAGTACAACCGATGGTCTTGCTTTATTCTCCTGGCCTTTAGACGGTCTGCGGTTTTGAAGCTGGGCAAATCTGTGCGAAGCAGAGATTGTGCATGGCTCATATGCAGCATGTATAATTAGTTTTTCTCACCCTCTGGTTCAGACCACGTTGTTTCTGTCGCTTGCATGCTCAGACCTCTCTCCTAACAGAATTTGGCTGCTTATTTTCCTCCTAATCACGCAGGCGTAGGCTGTGATGGGTAGGGAAGCTGCTTGCAGATATGACAGCACTGAAAAGGGAGCTGGATTTCACACAGCCCTGGCTGAAGGAAAGGTCCCTGCAAGTTATCCAGCACCGTTAGGCTAGAAATGTTAGACAAAAATTTCGGTGACCGGTCTGTGATGGTATCGTCTGAGCCTCTCCCGGCCGCTAACCCACTGCCTCCATCCCTGCGCCCACAGGGAACTGGTACCTCCTGGAGTGCAACCCTTTGTGGCGGAGACTGCTTCAGCATTACAGACAGCACAAGTGCTATACTGCAGCCCAGGGGATTTTTGTCAGGAAGACTTCAGCCTCCTCCCGGTGAGGATGGGTGGTACCTCGATGAGCTCGCCCCCCTCTACCTGAACTGCGTTACGTGTGCCTTGGGGAGGACGCAATCTTTCCATTATTTAATGACCTACGGAGCCAAATGCAGGGGGGGAGCCAGGACCTTCCCCTGCGCAGTGACAGCTCAGCTTCGGTGCGTGCTTTGGCATCTTGGGGTTTTTTTTTTTAATCAGTGCAACCTTGGACGGGAACTTTCAGCTCTAGCAAACCAAAAAGCATTGGAAATGGATGGACGGGGGTGTGACTTTATGGATGGTGGTACTGGTTTTTTAACTGTAAGATGCTGAGCGGAGCCCCCACCCTATCGGCCAGCGCGGCTGCGTTGTGGGGACCAAATGCTCCGTCCGTTCGTCGAGGGCGGGATGACTGCACGCGACGGAGCCGCGCGGCAAGCTGCGATTTGCCATAGAGGACCAAAGCTTCTGAGTACTGCCACTCATTTTAAAACCAAGGCCAGGGAATTTTTAAAGCTTCTTGTTTCTCAAAGCAGAAAAATGACTTCTTTTGGTTTGTTGGGGTTTTTTTAAGTGAAGGAGGAAAGCAAAGAGAGAACCACGTACCACTGTCTAGCCAAAACGCTGTTCTCTGAGCATGTAAATAGCACAGAACCAAGACCAAGCTATATTTTGCAAATAGATTTACTTAGTCTTTGTTCAAAGGAGGTTGTCCTCACCAGCATAAAGTTAATGAAAAGCGAGGACCACTCCTACCAGGAAACGTTGGAATTTGTAAGCATATTTTAAACTGTTCTGAGTTTTATTTAAAATCTCCTCCTGTAAGAGCCTCCCTTTCCTACCCCATATTTTTTTAAAGCTGCTTCTAATTTATTAACTTTTAACTCTGTGAACTTGTTTCACAGTCTGACGGCCTGAGTTTTTAAGAGCGGTGATGGAAATTTGATAAACGTACCACAGCATCTATGTGTATAATGTGGTTTTTTTATTTTAAGTAGCTAAACTGCTGTGAAGTGAAGCTCTGATTCACTAGAGAAGGCTGCTTTTGCCCGGTAACCTCTGGCTGATACAGATGTGGAGCGGCGAAGTGGTACTCTCTGCTGAATCACGGCGCTGCTTTTTGAAGCATGATCGTTTTGAGGGAGAGTGTCTTTTATCTCATTTCAATTCTGAATGTATGAAGTGCCTGCCTCGGCTCTGCCCAGGACCGCACGCTTGGCTGTCTCTAGATGTTCATGTGGGATGGAGCCAAGATGCAATCGCGGTGGGTTTGCACCACGTCTATACTGTGCTGGGACACAAGTCCTCCTTGGCGTAAGTGAGGGGTCCCCGGGACTTCACAGCGCTATGGCAGGGGTGAATTTTGTCCTGTGTTTGCAACTGAAAATGCAGCATGGCTCTTTCCAGTGTGGAGGAATGTGCAATAAGAAAGCGTTGGGCCTGGAAAAGACCTTATTTAACGGTGTGTTTCTTCTCATCACTCTGTGTTAGACTTGACTGAAGAACCTATGGACAAATTTTGTTGTTCTCTTCCTTATTTTACACTACCTTCCTGCACTTCTGCATTCGGTGGGTTTGATCTGTACGCTAGAGACCACCCAGGCTTGCCTTTGTCTTACGGAAGCATAATAATGGGCATATTCCTTATGGGAAGAATGGCAATTCTGTGAGGGACAAAAGCCCGGAGGAAGTACCTCCTGCTGGTTCTAAAGATGCTTGATAACCTCTTTGAAGTCATCCCAGATGGGATCTTAAAAGATTCTGCGCCAGCCTGATTATGGAAATATTGTTGCAATTCCAAAATAAGCTTGTACGGGAATCATTTTGTGGACTACTGAAATGCAATCGTGTATCTCCAAGATGATGTGGAGAATTGCAAAAGATGCTGGAATTGTTGGGCTAGGTACTCTAGCGTGGTGCCGGCATCATTCTAACAAAGTCACCTTGGTCCCTTTAGAACCAGTGGGTCTCATTTTTATGATGTCATGTAAGTGAAGAGTCTCTCCCCCATTTGGTTTTGGTGTGTTTGCTGGTTATTTCATTCCATGTAACACAAATGAGGAGACTCACCCCGAGTGTAGTGGCTTAGCCCAATGCTCTTGGGGAGGGTTTGGCCGTGGGTTTGGAAGAGACCCCACAAAGCATCTCCCTTTGCCCTCAGCCGGGAAATCATGTTTACTGCTACTCCTTGGAGGGTAAAGCCTAGACTGAAATGCTTTGCTTGGTCACCTCGGTGTTGCAAGACAATATACATGTGGTTTTTTTCCTCTGAAGATGCATTTTGTAACTGGTGTTCAGAAAACGCTGCCCGAGACCACCCGCGCGGCAGTAACAGCCAGGCTGGACCCTTGGGCTGTCTGGGCGGTGAGCGGTTACCTGTGGAGACGGTCATGCAGCTGCAATGGTCAGGGGTGGCAGAAAGTGCAACAGACTGTTAGTGACAGCTGAGTATCGTGTTCTTGTCCTTATGGGCAGAGAGAACCATAGACATTCATAGAGGAAAAAAAAGTTCAAAGTAGTTCGGTTTCATTTGCAGACAGAGCTTTGAATTTACTTTTGACAGAATTTTATGTTCAAACACATTTTCTTAAAATACTTACAAAAAACCAAAACCACCAAACCTTTGGTAATTCCAATAGGAAACCACCGGCAGCACGGCGCGCAGGGTGTCTGTCTGATGACAGGCTCCGTGTTTTCCGCAGCTCACAGACAAAAGAACCTTGTTGCAGGACACAAATGTCAGCTCATCCAAGAGGATAACTTAATTTCCTTGGCACAAGCCAGAGCTTGAGCCCGAGCTGAACAACGGGCACCTGCGCAGGCAGCGAGCGGTGTGCCAGCCGCCGGCCTGTGACGCTCGCGGCGGTTGCAGCCATCGCCCTCCGTCCTGCTCAGACCGGCAGTGAAATTGCAGATGTCCGCAACTAGGAAACCTCTCCTTGGCTTCAGCCGGCAAAGGAGAAGCCCACTGGACTTCTTTACTTGAGGATTTGGACAGATCTGTGTAGGACAATCAATTGACTGCAATAAATTGTTGGGGTTTTTTTTTAAATAGAAATGAAATGTTAAGTGTCATGGAGTGTAAATTAAGGAACTTCAAATGTGGCAGGTTTTTATCTTTTGTATGTCTGTGATGTGTGGCAATCCTCAACTGACGTTTTGGATACAAATATTTTTAACTGCTTCTATGATTTCTAATAATGAACCTCAACATTCCTTTTTTGATATTTAAGCCATAATTGTAAAAATGATTTGAATTTATTTAAATAATAAATTTTATTACTCAAAGGTCTGTTTATGTGATGGTTTGACTAGAATCGGTGTGGGGACAGCTATATTTGGACTGAACAAAATGGTAAAAAAGAAAATGAGCATTAACTGCAGTACGTGGCAGAAAAGATTTTCTCCATCTTGGTTGTGTGGATGTATTACCCTTCCCTGTTTGTTGGGGAGGTTTGGGGGGTGGTTGGGTTTTTTGCTGGTTGGAATTTTTGTTTGTTTGTTTTTTTTAATCAGAGTGACCTTTTCACAGGCTGTTAGAGGGGTAAGCCTGAAATCATGCTTAGGTACCTAGAAGGCACAAGGTGTAGAGGGTGAGAGGAACCAGAGATGGAGATAAGTTAGGCTGAGTGGTTTGAAGAGCTCTGGATTCAGTTCAGGTGTTTTGGAGGAAGGATGTGGGGGAAAAAAATAACTTGGGATAAAAGAAACCAAAACAACATCACTGCAAGAAGCTGGCACTGGGCATCTTTTGGTGGATGGAAAGCACTGGACGATGGAGATGCTTCCATCCCCCGTGCTTTGCATCCGAGGCGTCCTGCGAGACTGCGTGCTTCCAGCTGCTCCTGCCTGTGAGTTCTGGCAGGGGGAAGTGAGCGTTGAGTCCGGAATGCTGCCCGAGGATGTTATGTTGCGTGAGAAATTTGGAATGGGTTACTGTTAACCTGGAGAGATTTGGGGAAGGCGCTTGTAAAATTGTTGTTGAAAACAAAACGAGTTCAGTTTTATGCAAGTTGTTTAAAAATAAAGTTTTATTTTTTCTCATTCATCTTTTTCAAACGGATTAAAATAAGAATGCTCTTGTGTGCCACCTCATCCTTCCAGTGCATAAGCGCTGCTCTCCGCGTCTTCAACAGTGTTAGCTTGTGTCTTCAATATAATGCTGTCGTGCCAGTTTGCAAAGACAAACGTCCGAGTGTATGATCTTCTGATTGTGAATTGGTATGATCTGCCAGGCTGCAGGCCCTGGACTATACATATGTTGGAGGTAACTTCCTGAATCCTGCTGTATCCCACTCCATCTGTCAGTAACTTACAGTGCAGTTCATACTGCTCGAAGTGTGGCTCTTTATTATTGGTAAACCACTGAAGCCTGACCCAGTCCTTGTATGCAAATGATTTGTTTCGATTAAAAATCAGGGGCATCTTTGTATAGAGAGAAAGTCTAATGTTGGGGAGTCTAGTACCTCTAAGAAGTGCATGTGACACCAAAGACTGCTGAACATAGAGCTCTCCTGGCACTTGCAAGGAAATGACAGTTTTCGAGAGCTCGGAGAGCTCGGACAGTCTCTGTGTAATCAAGTGCCACTGGGAGAGGAAAGTTGCCATATCCCAGGTCTCTACATAATGGCTCAGCTCCGCCCGACCTCGTTCCAGCTGTTCTAACAGCTCAGTTAAAAGCGACAGCTGGATTTCAGTCTGTTTTTTTCCCAGCTCCTTCATCCTCTGGAGCTTGCAGGGGTCTATTAGTTGCAAGATGTCAGTGCGATGCATCACGTGGTTCTCGTCTGTCACATTCATGTATTTCGGCTCAACCCCCAAGTAAAAGCAACACTTCTTCAGAAGGTCAGCTTTGTTCTGGTAGTGCTGGAGCTGGTGAAGGCTCAGGCTGGAGCGCAGGAACTGCAGAACAAGGCTGCGTCTTTCCAAGTACAGCGCCCAGCTGGCATTGTCTTGCTGTTCTTCCATGTGCGCGGTACTCTCCAAACTGTTTTCAAACTCATTCAAAATCGCAGCCATGATTCCAAAGCTTAGCTGCTGTCTAAGAAAGCAGCAATAATAACATTAAGAACCAAAGGAAAAGCAGCTGTGAGGGAGAATAAGCATGGCTGTGACTCTTCTCTCCTCTCTAACTAAAGCTTAGCTTATAGATTTATAGATGGGAAAGAACTGTCAGACTAGATGTAGTCCAAGAGGAATTTTCCTTTATAGTTGTATGGTTTCTAATGTTTTGTAGAGTCTACTTTTACATATTCCAACCAACTGGTCTCCCTCTACCCCCACCTTGAGAGGTTCTACCTCTGCTTAATAGGTTCACTGTCAGGAACTATTCTTTGATATACTCTGCCAAAATTTCTCCCTATCTTACCAGCTTCTCTTCCATTCTAATTAGATGCCTTTGTACTCCTGTAAGCAATTTCTTTCAATTCTTCTACATCTCTGGAGATGTCTATTTTTCTCTCTTTATAATCTGCCAGGCTGTTAAGGTTTGAGACCCATCTTCTAAGCCAGTTCCTACAGCTACATAATCACCTTGGTGATTCAAATTAACCCTCTGCCCCCTGAGCGAGCTGGTACGCAGCAGGCAGAACCATGCGATACGCTGAGTGCCACCTCACAACAGCTTTCAAAAGGAATGCTAGCGTTTTTCCTTGCACCTCTCCTTTCAACAGTGGATTGACAGTCGTAACCTGACAATGTTTTCAGTGATGTATTGCTTTCCCTTGCTCTGCTTTTAGTTTACACCATCACCTCGGTTCATAGTATCTACTTGCTTTCTTGTAGAAGAATGCTGTTAGTCTATAAACATACAGTAAGAGAATGAAACACACGTAGAGCACCTGCGAACAGACAGCGGTTCGCTGTTAAGAAGGCGTTTAGGCAGTGGTCCTTTGCAACGCCGTATCTGCTGCCTTAAGTCTTACCTGTTTCGTTTACCGGCAAAGATGTGCCCTGGATGGTGGTGCCTGCTGAGCCAAGATGGTTTCTGTGTTGTGCCTTAGCTGAAGTACCTGTGGCTAACACAGCTGATGTATCATAAACAGAAGTTAGCTACATAAACGCCTGTGTCCCTGTTGTTGATGATACTGTAATGAGAACCCAGCTTGACATGGAGAATGTGGCTTTCACAAGCTGAACACACTTGACTTGAAAACTGAATTCTGAAAGTAAGATTTTTGTGACCCCAGTCAAGACTGCGATAATACCATCTAGCAACAGGTCACTTTCCTCATTCCATGTAATTTCCTGGTTGTAATTATTTAAGTTCTTGGAGTATCTAACGGGGATATTTTAATTCTTACATGTCTTGTAGAAGCTACGTGGTGATATCTAGCTGACAAAGCAATTTTTCTTAGCCTCATTTTCCCTTAATACATAACAGAAGTAATAATACTTCCTCATAGGAATTTCAAGCGTCTGTAAACCTTTCAGATGTCTGGCCCCTAGCTGCACTACCATTTATACCAATTCACTCATTTGCAGCGACTTTTTTTTCCAAGAGAGCTGTCAACTTAAAAAACAAGCTGTATTTCCTTCTCACTTTTTTCTTTCCACCAAAAAAAAAAAAAAAAAAAAAATTCCACCTAAACCAAAGCAGTGCCAGTTCCTGGCATCCCCGTATGGAGCGAACAGGGACAGCACACGCTCCAGGTTACATTACCCCGCTTCCAGAGGGATTTGGCTCTCCCGAGCAGTCTGTTTGCCCACAGACAGAGCTGTGATTGTGCTTGTTTTCCCTTTCTGTTTTTATATCCCTTTTTCCCTTGCCAGAAAGTCCTGTCTTCCCAGTAGCGTGGCTATGTTT